AAATAATGTGGTTAAATCTCACAAACAATTTCAAGCAAAAGAATATACACCCTACGAAGACATTTATATAGAATTCAGAAACACACTCCTGTATCCGAAGCTGAGATCATGGTTATTTTGAGGAGCTGAGGAGGAGTGAGCGAGGAGAGACGGAGAGAGTGTGAATGGGGCTCCGGGGGCTACTTCTGGGACCTGGGTGGTAGTTACGTGGTGTGATCATCACTGTAGTAACTTACTGAGCTGCAAACTTGTCACCTGGATGCTTTCCTGTGTGTTGTATCTCTACAGAAGTTTTGAAAGAGCTTCTGTTTTCTAAATTGCTCTATTTTTATGATCATGAACCCGCACTATCATGGAATATTAAGGATAGTAGCTGGTGGACTCATACTGGAAGGTCTCCTTAACGGAAGAGCAATGAAGAGACTGTTGTTTGGTCTTTGATCAGGAACAGCTGCGGCTCTTCTAATCAACTGGCCTGTTTCTATCACACAGACACCTTGAAATGTTGAAAGTGGCCAGGTGTCCCGTTTAGTGCCGGCTGCTGAAAATCCTGGAGCCAAGCCTGAGGTCCACTTATAAAAACACACAGGGCACTTCTGTGGGATGCTGTTTTATTGGTCTCGTTCAGGTTCCATTATTATATCCTCACACTTTTCTTTCTTTTTTCTCACAAATTACGGTTTGCTATTTTGTATTACTTGCAAACTTCCTTCATCCTATCTGGAACAAGGCAGGCTATTGATGAATAAAAATGCTTTAGTGGGGTTTTTTTCTCTTTCTTTTAAAGAAATATATAGCTTGCTTTGGTTTTACGTCATTCTAGTTTAGTGCTTTGTAGCCTGGCTGAAAGTCCTCATCCTGAACTCGCGCTGCTGATACACTGGTTCCGGGATCTTGGACAAGTCATTCAGCCTCACTGAGCCTGTAAGATGGAATAACGATAGCTTTCATGGGATCACCGTGAAGATTAAAATAATTACCCCAAAGATCTATTCCTGGTTTAATGGTTACCACATAAACAGCTTAGTAAAGACAGGGGATATCTGCTGTTTATAGGAAAGCTACTAAGCCAACAGAACTAGAATTACTTCTGTAAGATTTTAAGGCTATAAAGCAATTAAAATCATTTTATCAAGATATCATAAAACTTCAGCAAAGTTGTATAATGGGGAAACATTTAACTTTTAGTATAAGTGAACTATTTCTAGTCTGGAATAAACTTACCTCTTCCTAGAACATCTGTAGGACACATCGCCATCAAGAACACATGGAAACATAAAACTACTCCCAAACCATTTTCAAACCAGCTGTTTAGCATGCATTTTCACAGGACGTGGGACTGTAAATGGCAGGATTCAAAGGACCCAGAGAAGCCGAGTCAACTGGTAATTTGGCTGAATCAGAGGATTATACCTCTCAATACGTCAGCACCTACGTGAGTCCCGAGTACACTTCTTTTGGCTTCCAGGTGAGAGTAACTTTCTACCTCCTCTATCTCCCTTTCCTGACATTTATAAGGTACTCTTCATCTTCACTGGTTAGCAGCTGTAAGAAGACAGACCAATGTGAAAAAAGCTTATTCATTCCTGGAATCTACAGTTTTGTTTTATGCCTTGGACTTAAATGTTCCCGGCGCCCAATCTACCCGAAAAATTTCGTTTTTTAAAACTCAGCGCAGGTGCCGTTCCTGTCTGGTCCCTGTGTGCGCCGAGGCGGCCACACGGCGCACGGCAGGTGAGCCTGCGGACGGGCTTACGGCGCGCGGTCGGTCCGGCACCCCGCCTCCGGCACGCGGTCTGTCTGGCACCCCGCCTCCGGCGCGCACCGGGGTGTGGTCGCGCGGGGCTATTTCACACCCCGCAACCGCGGTTTTGTGACATCTAAAACAGGAATAGTCATTGTGCAACCTACTTCAGAGGACTGCCGTGAAGACTAGAAGAAACAAAGGAAGGCTTACACTCGGTCCAGGGGCGACACAGGGCGAGGGCTGAACGAGCGGCAGCTACCACGACGCCGCGCTCTGCGTTATCCGCTACGGTTCGCGTCTTCGTGCGCGCGTCTCCGTTGTTCGACTGTGAGCCCCTTGCGGCTCCAGACTGTGTATCCATCTTCTTTACCTTCCGTTCTAAACCCAGTGCCTATTACAGAGTAGGTGCTGTGATGACAGAAGGGTGCAAGGGCAGGAGGTGGGAAGATGGGGTAAGGAAAGCACTTAAACTGGGGTTTGGATCTGTCCTGTGTCTGCCGAGAGGACCGGATATAGGGCTGGGAGGATGTAAGCACAGTCCTTGCCAGGTCTAGGGCAGCACGGTTTCCACAGTGGCTTCTGTACAGGTGTCGGCAGAGTGTAAGAGGCTTCGAATGAAAACATTTCTATGGTAAGTAGGTACTACTAGGAGTAAACTTAGTTTGGTGGTGAAGGTAGGAGTTGCAGGGGCTGGGAGTCAGAGAAGGCACGCAGATGGATGCTGGGAAGCTGCAGAAGTGAAGCCGAATCTCTGTTTGCAATGCTAACAGATAGAGGGAGAGGGAGCTCTTGTGGCTGTGTCAGCTGCAGACCTCACTGCATGGATGCAAGCTCATGTGTCAAGGAGGAGCAACGTAGTTAAAATACTGCCATTAATTGAAATTAAGATGTTAAATGCTGATGGCACGCTTTCCAATCTAAGATCTCTGTGAGCAGCAGAGCAAAGAACAGGCCAGACTGGACTCAGTCCCGGCTCAGCCATTCACCTGTGTCACCCCAGGGACGTCACTTAGTCATCGCGAGTCTGCTTCCACACACATCCAACCGAGAACGCCACTGTCACACGGGATTATCGTGAGGGTCAGTAACAAAAAACATGAAGTGTCTGCCACAGAGCTTGGCCAACAGAGGGAATGCAATAAATAGTAACTATTATTGCTATTTTATAGATTCACAATATACTCAGCCACTCATAAAAAACAACCCGCTGAGTCCCCTTTACCATTTCACACTTTACACTTCACTGTTTCAGCTGCGACGGCTTAGCACAGACAGTTGTCACACTGTCAGACACACGCAACAGTGCTGTCTCTACAGGAGGAAGAATCTGCATAGTTCGTCTCAACATTTCCTTCAACCTGTAGAGACGTACACAAACCAGCTAACAGAGTGACTACTGACATCACGCGCTCAAATACAACGTCAGTATGTAAAAGTTAATTCTTACACTGAAAGCCAACGATTCTGGGAAATTCTAGCATACAGGCAAAAGTTAAGCTGGGAAGATCAGACTGACTTCAGTTATCTTTTTCCTTCACTGTGAAGTGCTACATACAAGAAGAGACAATCACTAGAACAAAACAGTGATAACATTTAAACCTCTCAAGAAGCTGGTCCAACAAACGGCAGTCTCTGCAGTCAGTCTGCTACAACCAGCGTCTTGGTTTTACACTTTGACTTCTTTTCACTTTTCCTTTCTTTAGTTATAAAATTCTGAACAGGTGAATGCATTAAACTCTGCTCAGAAAACACAATGAAAAGGAGTCTCTAACTAAAGACCTATAAGAGTTTCGCATTAATAGTAAATTTAATTTGCACAATATAGCTCTTTAACAGTAGAAAATTCTACATGTTAATAAATTTTCTTTTCATTTTTTGTATAAGATAAAAGATTGTCTTCACAGGCCCAACATCAAAAAACTGACATTCAAGTTAAACCTCACGTGACCTGAGGAGGAGGGCAGCACTATTTTTCAGGTCCATCCCTTATCATCAGACGTCAAAATTATAAAATGGGAGATGGCTTTATTTTACTCATAACTTCCTTTGAGCAAACCTTTTGAAAACAAGGAATAATTCCTAAGGTTTTCAAAAGAATAGGGATTTCTAGAATATGCTTATGTGTAACTTGTTCTTTCATACCTGGCTACCAGACCAGAACGGATTATACAAAATGCACACAAACAAGTAAAGATTATCCGTGACCCTGAATCCCTCAAATGTCATCACAGCTGAAGATGAATATGTATAGGAACGGCCCCCCAAATTTCAGGACAGATTAAATTAAGTCACATCTAAGATTTATCATTTTTGTTAACTTTTTTTTTTTCATTCAGAATTTACTTAGATCGACCACCACCAGGAGGTATTGCCCAGAACACTCAGACTTTAACTGAAGACTGTCACACCAGGAAAAGGGCAATGCCCAGACCTTTTCCTTTGAGGTTCAAATTAATTTAGAGTAGAAGAAGCGTTTCTTTCTTAACAAATGAAGTTTATGTTACTCATTCAAATCTCATCACTGTGAATAAACATTATTGTACAAACAATTCAAGATGAGAAACATGCTTTTCCATTCATGTTTAGCCAGATATTTATCATTAGAAAATAATAAAGAACAAGGAAATTTACCTAGAGCCACATTAACAAAAAGGATCTCTCTAATCAAAACACATTACTTTAAATAATTTTAATCACTGAGTATCTAGTAAAACTATCTGAAAACTTCATGAGTTGAATCTCACAGATTCAAGGTAGCGCCCGTTTAAAAAGCATTCAGGCACTGAGAAATCTGTTAACTGATATTAGGCAAGTATCCTTTTTTGCAATCTCAGTAATACCACCATGAAGGGAAAAAAGAAGCAAGAGCAAAAAGACTTCCCTCTCTCCACAACGGTAACCACCACAAATCTATTCTATAGGTATAAAGAAAATGTCTGTTTAATTAAAGTAACTCTGACAACTAGAGAAACTATCAAGGGTTTTCAGATCACAATAAAAAATAAAAATATTTGCCATGTAAATATTAATTGATCATCTTAGGTCAAGATTAAAGAGATTTAAGGAAAATAAATGCTCAATACTCAAACAGAAAAATTCTTGTTAAAAAGATAATCTTCTAAAACATTAACCCATAATCAAGGATTCACAGATATTATTTGTCATGAACGTCAGTCATAACCAATAGTAGAGTGGTGTTACAATACAGAGGAAGGAAGAAAGAAATATGTGAAGATCAGAATTTATCACCTACCTCATGATTCAGCTCTGCTATCTGATCTTGCAGTTCCCTAATGTACTGGTTAGAATCAGCCTTGTTAAGCTGTCCTTGAAGCTTCCCTTCTTCTTTCTGTTTTGCGACAACACAACAAAGCAGAATCAAGAGACAATTTTCACAGCATGTACTCAAATATTTGAAGATATGGGGCAGCATAAGGGCATATTTTTTTTTCTTTTTTAAAATATATTTTTATTGAAGTCAGTTTACGAAGTTGTGTCAATTTCTGGTATACAGCACAATGTTTCAGTCATATAGGAACATACATATATTTGTTTTTCATATTCTTTTTCATCATAAGTTACTACAAGATATTGAATATAGTTCCCCGTGTTACACAGTATAAAGTTGTTGTTTATCTATTTTATATATAGTAATTAGTATCTGCAAATCTTGAACTCCCAATTTATTCCTTCCCACCCCTTTTCCCTCTGGTAACCATAAGTTTGTTTTCTATGTCTGTGAGTCTGTTTTGTAAATAAGTTTGCCTTTTTTTTAGATTCCACATATAAGTGATACCACATGGCATTTTTCTTTCTCTTTTTGGCTTACTTCACTTAGGGGCATATCTTTTAATTGGCTAAATTCTGAACAAATCTATTTTCAAACTATTTCTGAAAAACAACAGTAAACTATACTGAATATTTCTAAATACTGCTTAATGGAACCTGTTTGCAATTAATGCAATTTATAAAATGTACCTTTTGAGAGACTCTCTGGAATCAATAATTGAATGGGTCTACTAGTGAAAAAAATACCCTAGAATTCCAAAGCCATTGACCTAGTTATTTTGAGGGCAAATACTTTTCTATCCATACCGTAAGAGATTAAATGCTTGGCTGAGAAGGTAGTAAGCCCCTACGGCTACGCTGGAACCCGCTTTTGCCTGGGGAACAGAGAAGTCAAAAAGAGAAAAGGTTTTCCAAACCACTCTCAAAAGGGGAGGACAGCCCTGAGTCTCTTCTGTTGAACTACTCAGGAATGTGATTAAACGTCCCAACCCTAAGATCTAGTTCCAGAATCATGTTGGGACCATTCTCCAGGAAGACAGGCTGGGAAGGGGAGGGGCTGCCTTTTTTTTTTTTTTAATATCACCTGAAAACAAATGTGAACTTTTAAGATAAAGGACCTATCAGAGAGCGAAAACAGAACTGTTTTTGGTATCTCCAGATTATTTGTTTACGAAGCCACGTGAAGGTGTTCAAAATGTTGAGAAGATCAGATCCAGAGACATCTACTAGACTAGTGAGTAAATCCTGACACCAGGAAAGCACCGGTTTACGTATAACAGTCCCCAATCACCCAGTTCCTCTCATGGAGACCGCCATGGGTTAGCAGCTTTTCACTGGAGTCTTCCTGTGACATTCTGTCCACAATCAAACATACACACACACACACACACACACACACACACATTTTTACTCACACTAGAAACACTATACTCGCTGTTCCACATTTGCTATCATCTCTCAAGAACACAACTTGAAGATCATTCAATATCAGTATCCACAGAACAGAAAGATGGACACTTTGATTTGAGAGCGCTCTGAAGTTCTTGTGAAAGTTATCTTCGTGGTATCTAAATATTTCTCCGTTTTTAAAAAATGCACCTTAGGTTCTGTACAACTACCTTGAGTGTAATGAGTTGCAGTGAAGAGCATTTCCAATACAGAAAATGTTATCTTCCCATTCACAGTAAGAAGGGGCCTTGGATATTATCTGGTGTGGTCCTCTGACTGTAGCCAAATCCAGCCTCTACTTTCTTTTGACACACCCTCCCCTAACATCCTTGGCAGAAAGAAGACCTCGACAGAACTGCCTCGGCAACAACGTGCAGGTCCTCCGTGGAGTCTGGGCACCGTTCCAGCAGGACTGCCCTCTGCACTGACCGTCCCTGCCACCTCGATCCCATGCTCACGGACGCTTAGTCTGTTCCTCAGATTCTTTCATGAAGTTCTTCCTGTAAGTCCCTTCCCCCTCATGGTTTTTTTTGTTATTTTCCTTTTGGAAACCTGCCTTAAAGACCTGTTACTGGAACATGACCTGCTGAAACAGCCTGATGTAACTAACACTTGTGTAGATGTGCAAGAACCATTGTTTCTACATGCTTTAAAACTTTTCTTATGTATTTAAACACGTGAACATCACATATAATCATTTAAGCAAAAGAACTAATTTAACAATGACTATATTCCAAATATGCTAGGTTTCTTAAACACATATAAAAGACACCTTATGGTTTTTCAGCCCCATACCCATACTTAAGAAAAAAAAAACCTTTGGAGAATTTAGTTAGATATATTAGTTTGATGCCCAGAGAAAAAGAGAACCAACAGAATAGCAAAGATACCAAGCCACGATCCTAATCAAATCATCTCTGAAGCCTTTCTTACCTGTTTTTTCATTTATATGAACCAACAAAATCCCTCTGTTATTTAAACCAGGTTGAATACGGATTCCTGTCACTGGCAACCAAAATAATAGCTAACGAATCTTGAGCACTTATCAGACCTTCACAACGGAGGTTTCCCAAAGGAATTAGCCCAAATGCCTAAAGCATCATTGTATGTAATGATTTAACTTACCTCCTATGCATCTAACATGGGACTAGCTATGTAACATCCTTAGAAGAATGAGAAAATAGTTACCCAATTTTCTACAGGACTTACCTCCCTCGTGGAGCCCTGGTGGGAAAGACTGGGCTTGCAGTGAGCTAGGAGCCGCTCACGCCCTGCACGTGTAGCCATCACGGCACCCCGTGTGACAGCTCTTGTTATCAGTGCTGTTTCCCAGATGAGAAAACTTAAATCAAAGACCAACATGACAGTATATATAGAAAACCCTAAAAGCTCCACACGAAGACGACTAGCGCTGATAAAATAATTCGGCAAGGTAGCAGGGCACAAGATCAACGTACAGAAATCAGTTGTATTTCTTTACACTAGCAATGAAATATCAGAAAAAGAGAGTAAAGAAACATTCCCTTTTAAAATCGCATCCAACACAATAAAATACTTGGGAATAAATCTGACCAAGGAGGTGAAGGACTTACACATGGAGAACTACAAAACATTGATGAAGGAAATTAAAGAAGACTTAAAGAAATGGAAAGATATCCCGTGCTCCTGGATTGGAAGAATCAATATTGTTAAAACAGCGATACTGCCCAAGGCAATCTACAGACTCAATGCAACCCCTATCAAATTACCCAGGACATTTTTCACAAAACTAGAACAAATAATCCTAAAATTTATATGGAATCACAAAAGACCCAGAATTGCCAGAGCAATACTGAAGAAAAAGAATGAAGCTGGAGGAATAACCCTCCCAGACTTCAGACAATACTGCACAGCTACAGTCATCAAAACAGCGTGGTACTGGCACAGAAACAGACATACGGATCAATGGAACAGAACAGCGAGCGGAGGAGTAAACCTACACAATTACAGTCAGTTAATCTTCAACAAAGGAGGCAGGAATACACAACGGAGAGAAGACAGTCTCTTCAGCAAGCGGTGCGGGGAAAGCTGGTCAGCAGCATGTAAATCAATGACGTTAGAACACTCCTTCACACCATACACACAAGAAATACTCAAAATGGCTTAAAGACTTAAATATAAGATGACACTATAAACCTCCTAGAAGAAAACATAGGCAAAACATTCTCTGACATACATCTTAACAATGTTCTCCTAGGGCAGTCTACCCAGGTAATGGAAATGAAAAGCAAAACAAACAAATGGACCTAATTAAACTGATAAGCTTTTGCACAGCAAAGGAAACCATAAGCAAAACCAAGTGACAAGCTACAGAATGGGAGAAAATATTTGCAAATGATGTGACTGATAAAGGCTTAACTTCCAGAATATATAAACAGCTCATACAACTTAATAACAAAAAAAACCCAACCTAATTCAAAAATGGGCAGAAGACCTAAAGTAACAATTCTCTAATGAAGACATACAATTCTCTAATGAAGACATACAAATGGCTATTAGGCACATGAAACAATGTTCAATATTGCTAATTATCACATAAATGCAGATTAAAACTACAATGAGGTACCACCTCACATCAGTCAGAATGGCCATCATTAAAAAGTCCACAAAGGATAAATGCTGGAGAGGGTGTGGAAAAAAGGGAGCCCTCCTACACTGGGCTGGTGGGAATGTAGTTTGGTGCAGCCATTATGGGAAACAGTATGGAGATTCCTCAAGAACTGAAAATAGACTTAACATATGATCCAGCAATCCCATTCCTAGGCATATATCTGGAGGGTACTCTAATTTGAAAAGATACATACACCCCAGTGTTCACAGCAGCACTATATACAGTAGCCAAGACATGGAAACAACCTACATGTCCATCAACAGATGACTGGATAAAGAAGTTGTGGTATATTTATGTAATAGACTACTACTCAGCCATAAAAACGAATAAAGTAATGCCATCTGCAGCAACATGGATGGACATGGAGAATGTCATTCTAAGTGAAGTAAGTCAGAAAGAGAAAGAAAAATACCATATGAGATCGCTCATATGTGGAATCTAAAAAGAGGACACTAATGAACTCACCTACTGAACAGAAACAGACTCACAGACATAGTAAACAATCTTACGGTTATGGGGAAAAGGGAGTGGGAAGGGATAAATTTGGGAGTTTCGGATTTGCAAATGTTAACCACTATATATAAAAATAGATAAAAATCAAATTTCTGCTGTATGGCACAGGACATTTAGTATCTTGTAGTAACCTTTAGTGAAAAGGAGTATGAAAATGAACCTGTGTGTATGTATATATGCATGACTGGGGCGTTAACGCTGTACATTAATCTTACCGAATGTATTTTCTAGGTGTGACATAAGGAATGGCAGCAGCACTGAGCAGGAATACTTCCAAAGTAGACCAGTCAGATGAGAGGTGCCCATCTGAACACATGTGTTCCATGTGTTCAACTGTGCTTTCTGATTGCTTTTACTTTTGGCCTAATTTTAGTTATCATGTCATATTATATCCCTCGGAATGGTTGTTTAAATGGAAAGTGCAACCCAGCGCTAGGAAGAAATCCTTC